CCAGTATGACATCCATCCTGGATGCTGGGTGTCAGGGAGTAAGGACGGGGGACTCCCAAAGAACACAGCTCTGGATTTTCAAAGGAATCAGAAAATGAGGGGATCTGATTATGAGATAAGCAGTTGGTTGACTCAAGTCCTCTTCTAAAACCATGTAAAACAAAATTTTTAAAAAAAATCTACATTCTAAGGGGATGCCTGTCTGGCTTGGTCGGGGGAGGGAGTGGCACGGTAGCATGCAACTCTTGATCTTGGGGTCATGAGTTCGAGCCCCACGTTGAGTGCAGAGATTGCCTAAATAAATAAGTAAACCTCAAAAAATCTGCATTCTAAGAATACACAATGGGGAATTTATAAATATTCATAAATTGGAGGAGCCTCAGAAGACACAAAAAACTAAACACAATGTGAAATTCTAGATGAAATATTGGAAGAGAAAAAGGCCACTCATGGAAAAACAAACTGAAATGCAGTCTGTAGCCAGTAGTGTTGTACCAATGCCAATTTCTTTTTAATTTAATTTAATTTTTTTAATTTTTTTTAACGTTTATTTATTTTTGATACAGAGAGAGACAGAGCATGAACGGGGGAGGGTCAGAGAGAGAGGAAGACACAGAATCCGAAACAGGCTCCAGGGTCCGAGCTATCAGCACAAAGCCCGATGCGGGGCTCAAACCCACCAACCATGAGATGATGACCTGAGCCGAAGTTGGATGCTTAACCTACTGAGCCACCCAGGTGCCTCTGTTAATTTCTTAGTTGTGTTCATCGTATCATGATCTTGCAAGAGGTTCTCATGAGGGGAAGCTAGGTGAAGGGGAAGCAAAATATCTTTGTACTCTCTGCAACGTCTCTGCACTTCTGAAAGCATTTCAAATTTATTTGTTTGTTTGTTTGTTTGTTTATTTAGAGAAGGAGCAGGGGAGGGGCAGAGGGAGATGGAGAGAGAGAATCCCAAGCAGGCTCCATGCCCAGCACGGAGCCGGATGCAGGGCTTGATCCCACAACCATGAGATCAGATCATGAACTGAGCTGAATCAGGAGTCAGACTGAGCCACCCAGATGCCCCAAATATATGATTTTATAAAAGACTCTTCAAATATATGCCATTTTTTATCTTCCTCAGTGTCTTTCCACTGAATGAAAGCTTTTGATCAGATAATGAAAGGGAATTCTGAAACCCTTTAACATCATTTCCTTCATTAATTACCCTAAACCACAGCTCTTCTGAGTCATATTTATTGACCCCTCCTGTGTAACCTTCCCCTGAACCCCCTTTAAAGTAGAATGGCTTATAGGCAGAATGAAAGGCCACTTCTGGAACCTCTTAGAACTGTTGAGCTTGCACAGAGGTCAACCTCTAACCTCAGTTTCAGCATCAGAGCGATGGGTAGAGACAGGACATATGGCTAAACATCCTACCACCACAGGATACCCACAAACACACACACACAAAGAATTATCTCATCCGAACATCAATAGTGCCAAGGTTGAGAAACCCTACAATACATCCCTTCCTACCCCCATATTTTCTCTGTAGCAAGGAAAGCAAGTCAGGCTGCAAGAAGAATTCAAAGCCCCTTAAAAGCTCTCCTCATGAAGGCCACGTTCCCTAGTGAGGCAGTCCCATTGGGACTCTCTCAAACCAGTTCTAGGGTCAGTTATGGGCTTCAGATGGATCCAGTCCTGCCTCCTCCCCCAGAAGTAGGGGTAGATGCCAAGGGAAACTAGAGATATATAATCTCATAATTAAGCCTTCTTCCAGGACCTGCCCTAACCCACCTTTCTGAGATTTAAACAACAGCATGGGCCCCGCCTTCCTCCCGGCCATGTGCCTGAGACCTGGGGTGTCAAGTTCCCCAGGACCTTCAAGCACTTCCTCCCCCACCTCCATGGGAAAGGTGAACATGGTATATACCCACACACCTGTGGGGGCACCCAGAGACCCACCTGGCCTCCCAGGCCCTTGACCTCAGGGGCTCTCTCTCCCATCCTATCTTCTGCCACTAGAGTCCTAGGCTCACTCCATGTTTTTGAAACCTTCCCTTCTGATCTGGCCAGTTACTGGGGCAGGTGCCCAGAGCAGACATAGCTGGTGGGGGCTGAGGAGAACAGGGGGAAGACTATGTGGGCAGAAGGCAGCAGGGGAATCATTCAAATATGAGATCTGGAAGCAACTAGCTGGCTCAGTCAGTGGAGGGTGCAACTCTTGATCTCAGGGTTGTGAGTTCAAGCCCCACATTGGGTGTAGAGATTACTTAAAAATAAAATCTTTTTTTTTTATTTTTTTTAAAAAAAATTTTTTTTTCCAACATTTATTTATTTTGGGGACAGAGAGAGACAGAGCATGAACGGGGGAGGGGCAGAGAGAGAGGGAGACACAGAATCGGAAACAGGCTCCAGGCTCTGAGCCATCAGCCCAGAGCCTGACGCGGGGCTCGAACTCACTGACCGCGAGATCGTGACCTGGCTGAAGTCGGACGCTTAACCGACTGCGCCACCCAGGCGCCCCAAAAATAAAATCTTTAAAAAGGAAAAAAAAAAACAAGGGGTGCCTGGGTGGCTCAGTTGGTAAGTGTCCAACTTCGGCACAGGTCATGATCTCCCGGTTCGTGAGTTTGAGCCCCGCATCTGGCTCTGTGCTGACAGCTCAGAGCCTGGAGCCTGCTTCAGATTCTCTGTCTCCCTCCCTCTCTCTCTGCCCCTCCCCTGCTCATGCTCTGTCTCTCTCTCTCTCTCTGTCTCTCTCTCTCTCTCTCTCTGTCTCTCTTAAAAATAAATAAATGTTAAACATTTTTTAAACAAAACCGAAAAAATACCCAAATCTGAGGTCCTTTCTCCTCCACTTCTCCCAAACCCTTCTCCCAAACCCTCCTCCTAAACCCTCCTCCAACTTCCCCCTACTTCAGTCCTGCCACTGCAGTCTGACTCATGGAGGTGTGAGACAGAAAGAGAAAGGGACAGAAAGAGAAAGAGAAAGAGACAGAAAGAGAGATGCTCAGAGACAGGAGGAGATGGTGGCTGAGAAAGATGTACAGGGAGAGAGAGACAGAGAGAAAGAGAAAAGGCATGGGGAGAATTAAAGACAGAACAGAGATGAGAGACAGAGACTCAGAAATGCAGAGGATGAGAGAACAAGAGAGACAGAGACATAAAGAGAGACAAAAAAGATTCAGAGGCAGAAGCAAAGTGAGACAGATACAGAAACTCAGAGACAAACCACAAGAGACGGAGAATGGCCAGAGGGCTGTGAACAGGCTCCAGAGAATGGGAGAACTCCAGCCCAGGACAGAAAGGAACTTGCCTGAGGTCACATGCAGTCACAGGCAGAAATGAACTTGACCCCAGATGAATAGAACCAAGTGCCTAAAACACCAAAGAGACCCTGCCCCCACCCCTGGCTCATTTTGCCCAGCCCCAAAACCCCGGGTCAAACCCAAAACCAGACTCAGGGCTCCGAATGGCAAACAAATGGAGATTTTGCCCCACTCCAGGGAAAATGGCCACTACTGACCACAGGAATGGGTGTTGAGGTCAGCCCGAAAGAGGCCAGTGGAGGGTTCCCAAGGGATGGCACCCACCCAAGGCATCACTCCAACTGGCTGCAAGCCTGGGCCGCTCCCAAGGTAAGGTATAAAAGTGAAAGGGATTAAAAGTCACTGGGAAAACTGGGTGTGGAGGGCCATGGGCTGTGGACAGAGGTGATTTAAGAGCAGCCCCCTTCTCCCCAGGCCACAGAGCCACAGGGCACACGCCTGGAGCAGATCATATCTCAGCCGTCCTAGAAGTTCAGCAGGTAAAGGGCCAAGTGCGGGTCACAGAGGAGGAGGGTGGCTCTCAAGAGCAGGGTCATCAGCTTCATTTCCTTGTCACTACGATTGTCCGGGGTCTCCCTTTTCCTCTTCTGAGGGTTCTCAGGGTCTCTGGGCCTGTGTTTCTGGGGCTCTCTCTGGCTTTGTTCGTTCATTTGACAAATGTTTTAAAGCTCACGGTAGGCTGAGCACTGGGTCTTGATCACTGGCTCTTTACCCAGCGGGTGGCATCTGTGGAATGAGCCCTGAGCCCATGGGGTCAGAACCCCTGATTCTTTTCTATCTGATTCTGCCCCCTTCTCTGTCTCAGTCTGTCTTGGCCTCTGTTTCTAGGTGTCTGTCTAATGTTCTGTGTGTGTGTGTGTGTCTGTCTCTCTCTTGCCCTTTCTCTACCTTTCAGTGCCCATCTCTAAGTCTCTCAGGAAGTGTGTGTCTGTCTGTCCACCTCTCTTCTGTCTCTAGCTCTGTGCCTTGATTTGTCTGTCTCTGTCCTTGCGTGTCTCTATCTCTTATCACTCCCTGTGTGAGAGTCAGTCTCATGATAGACGGCAGATGATGACAGACAGACAGATGATAGAGAGACATCTATAGATATTCCGATATCTTACTTGGTTTTTCCAAATACCTCATTATCTCCATGTGTATCTCTGTCTCTCTGTCTCCATCTCTCCATCGGTCTCTGTTCCGTTGCTGTCTCTCTTGCTGTTGGTCTTTCTGCATTTTGACCGCCTCTGCCTCTGTTTTCTCCTGGTCTCCATGCCCTTTCTTTCCTTCTCTGTCCCCACCCCTCACTTCTGTCCCCTCAGGCCTTGGTTGTTCCCTCTCCCTGCCTCTCTACCTCCTCCCTTCTCTCTCTCTCTTTTTTAATATTTATTTATTTATTTATTTATTTATTTATTTATTTATTTATTTTGAGAGATAGCCCAAGCAGGGGAGGGTCAGAGAGATAGGGAGAGAGAGGATCCCAAGGCGGGGCTCAAACTCAGGGAACCACGAGATCATGACCTGAGCAGAAATCAAGAGTCCAATGTCTAACCAGCCAAAACACCCAGGTGCCCCTCCTTCCTTCTTTTCTTCTGCCCCCATTTCCAGGGTGTGGGGGAGGCAAGTCCCAGGAGCTGCAGAGTGAAGGGATCTTGCTCCCTCCCTGGCCCTGCGGGTCCTATGCTCTCCCACTTCACTCCCCAGATGCCTGCGGCTGCTTTCACCATAGACAGTATGAGCACAGCCATCTTGCTCCTGCTCCTGGCTCTCACCTGTGTGTTCCTGATGCTCAATTCAAGGGGCAAGAGCCGGCTGCCCCCAGGCCCTAGGCCTCTCCCACTCCTGGGAAACCTGCTGCAGCTTCGCTCCCAAGACATGCTGACTTCTCTTACCAAGGTGCAAGGACCTAGGGTTGGGTGAGAAGGGAGGAACAGGGGGAGGGGTCCCAGGGTCCCAGACCCTCCCCCGCATGACATCTGTTTTCCTACCCTCAGCTGAGCAAGGTCTATGGCTCGGTGTACACAGTGTACCTGGGGCCCAGACGCGTAGTGGTCCTCAGCGGGTACCAAACCGTGAAGGAGGCCCTTGTGGACCAAGGGGACGATTTTAGTGGCCGCGGCGACTACCCCACCTTTCTCAACTTCACTAAGGGCAATGGTAAGCCTGCTCCCCATCTTCTCCCCTCTCCAGCTCACTCCACATTGAGGGAGGGGATAAGGGTAGGGGACTGTCCTCCCAATTTTGGTGACACTCAGGGCTACTGATCTCACCAATGACACCAGCTGGGATGGAGCCAGACAGTGCTAGTCTAGGTAGACTCAGTTCCACCTTCTCCATCCCCAAATCCCACCACCATTTTGAAACGCACTTCCACACCAATCCCCCACCTGCGTCCAACTCCAGCCCCATTCTCATCCCAATCCCTATCTCTAGCCTAACCACATTATCAAATCTCCATCTCAGTCAAGTGGGCAAATTATCTGGCCCAGCCCACATTGTCCACCTCAACCCAGTCCTTATCAACCCTACCTCCATGTTCCCCATTCCAACCTCAACTTTCATCGTTACCTGCAACACTGACTTCATCTCCCTCCAACCTCCATTCCCATTATGAACCCTCTCCCAAACCCCACATTAAAATCTGTTATCAACCCCATCCTGACCATCAAACTGAACTCCACCATTATTTTTCTCCCCAGCCCCAGCCCTATCTTCTATCCCAATCACCCATTGAAGTTGCTCGTTTCAGTTTCATTTTCTTTTTTTTTTTTAATTTTTTTTTTAACGTTTATTTATTTTTTTGGGACAGAGAGAGACAGAGCATGAACGGGGGAGGGGCAGAGAGAGAGGGAGACACAGAATCAGAAACAGGCTCCAGGCTCTGAGCCATCAGCCCAGAGCCCGACGCGGGGCTCGAACTCACGGACCGCGAGATCGTGACCTGGCTGAAGTCGGACGCTTAACCGACTGCGCCACCCAGGCGCCCCTCAGTTTCATTTTCAACCCTAACCAAACCGCCATCACCAAAACTAACCCCAGCACATATCCACCCAGCCCCAAGCTAATCTCAAGCCCAATCTACCAGTCTTTTCCATTCTATACAACTCCATTCCCATCAGCAACCTCAATTTATCATCAACCCCATAATCCCTCCTCCTCCCCCATTGTCATCCCATCCCAATCCAAACCCAGGTCCATCCCACCTAGCCAACAACTCACATCAACTCCAAACCTCTTCTATCTCAATACCCTGTCCTCCTTAGGTTTGGAAATCACTTAGTCTTCCGGGTTTTCTTTCTTTTTTTCTTAAAATTTTTTTAATGTTTATTTTATTTATGAGAGAAAGAGACAGAGTGTGAGCAGGGGAGGGATAGAGGGAGAGGGAGACACAGAATCTAAAGCAGCCTCCAGGCTCTGAGCTATCAGCACAGAGCCCAACGCAGGGCTCAAAGCCATGAACCATGAGATCATGATCGGAACCAAATCTGGACGCTTAACCGACTGAGCCACCCAGGCACCCTGTTTCTTTCTTTCTTCTTTTTTTTTTTAACATAAATCTTTTATTCAGAGAAAGCCATAAGACAAAGCCCAATAAATGACAAGGGAAAGGGAGGGGGAGAAAGAGATAAGATTGGCAGAAAGTTGCTCTGATTGAAACGGGGATCCTGGAGACCTGCATCCTCAACTATCCTTCTCCCCCTAAAGAACCCCTGGGGCTCCCCCTGTCCCCTTCACTAGGTGGGTACCAGCTGCTCCAGGATTTGGAAGCAAAGAGCTCTAGTTGAAAGCAAGAACAGGGGCACCGGGGTGGCTCAGTGGATTAAGCATCCAGCTCTTGATTTCAGCTCAGGTCATGATCTCACTGTTGGTAAGATCAAGCCCCACATCGGGCTCTGCACTGATGGCATATGGAGCCTGCTTGGGATTCTCTCTCTCTCTCTCTCTCTCTCTCTCTCTCTCTCTCTCTCTTCCCTCTCCCTCTCTCTCAAAATAAACTTTAAAACAAACAAACAAACAAAAAACCCAGCGCATTGAGTACACATTCCACCTTCATGTCCCCTTCCCGGTCTTGGTCTGATGACCTCACCCGTCCAGGTACACCAGGTACAAGGAAGTGGAGACAGTAGCGGTTTCTTTCTACTTGCCACACAGAAACCATCTGGATACATACTTTATCTGTTACTAGTTCTTCCTTACATAGTACAAAGGATAACAACAGGGTTCTGCTCCTTCCTGGGTGTGTGCCTTTGGACAAGTGGCTTCCTCTCTCTGACCCTGAGTTGGCTGGGATGAGAAAGCTGTTTGCTCCAAGTCATTGAGATAAGGCAGATGGTGCAAGGCAATCAGCATCGTTTTTTCTTCTTTCGCTTCTAGTTCTCTGCTTGCTCCAGGGAAACCAGAGACAAACACATCGGGAGACCTTATCCTATTGTAGCCCCATCACCAAATTATGACCACCTAGCGTAGTCAGGGCTGGAATGGGGAGCTGTAGGAGACCAGCGGCAAGCGCCTGAGCCAGCCAAGGGAGGGTCAGCAAGGGCATCGCGGAGGAAGGGACCTCTAAGCTGAGACCTAAAAGATGAGGACCACCATTCAGGAGCAGACAGATGTTGAAGAGTGTTCTGCTAGGACTAGCCTGTGCAAAGACCCCGAGTCCACGGAAAGAAGGTTCCTAGACGAAGTCCTAATGTTTATTTCTCTTGCTTTTCTCCCTCGTTTGTGCTTTCATTAATTAATAAGCAATCACCAGCACCTCCTGTGTGGTAAGGCCGGTGCTGGACAATGCTAGGGACAAGGTGGTGACCAAGACAGCCCCTCCACCCCCCATCTTCACAGCTTAGAGAAGGAGATAGCCCTTCTCTATGGTGATGGTCCAGAGTGATCAGGTCTGTGATGAGGGAAACAGAGAGATCAGGACTATGGTGAGGAAGCCCATGGCCCTAGGGAAGCTCAGAGAAGGCACCTGACCTGGCCTGGAGGGTTAGGAAGGGCTTCCTGGGAGGGGGTAGATTCCACACTCTGAGTCTCTCCCCCAGAAGACACCGGGAAAGGGGACTCAGGTGGCGGCGGTCTTGGAAATAAGCCATCAGTAGAGCTGGCCCCTCCCCTTCTCGCCAGGCCTCGCCTTCTCCAATGGGGACCGGTGGAAGGCCCTGAGGAGGTTCTCCATCCAGATTCTGAGGAACTTCGGGATGGGTAAGAAGAGCATCGAGGAACGGATCCTGGAGGAAGGCCGCTTCCTGCTGGCGGAGCTACGGAAAACTGAAGGTTGGTCCTCGAACGCAGTTGATACGCCTAACTCACATCCATCTTACTTAGTCGTCAGGACTGCCAGAGAGTGTGGGCGTGAACTTAAAACTGCTGGAGGCTCCTCACTTGGCCCACGGTGAGAGTGGTGCCCCCTGGAGGTGGGTCAGCTCCAGGTGCTATGTTCTCTGAGGTACGGCAGCAAGACGGGTTATGTGGTGGTTGATCCGTTGCGCTGTCCCTGCGTGGTATTCTGAATGCAGTGTGTATCATTGTGGTGGATGGTGATGATGATGATGATGATACTTTTTTTTTTTAACATTTATTCATTTTTAAGAGAGACAGAGCGCAAGCAGGGGTGGGACAGAGAGAGAAAGAGACACATAATCCACAGCAGGCTCCAGGCTCTGAGCTGTCAGCACAGAGCCTGACACAGGGCTCGAACTCACAAACTGTGAAATCACAACCTGAGCTAAAGTCGGACGCCCAACCGACTGAGCCCCCCAGGCACCCCATGATGATGATACTCTTGACACCACACCACTTATGGGGGCCCTGTGTTAAGCACACTTTCGTGCATAAGCCCCTGGAGCCTCAGAACGATCCATTTTGCAGAAGAGGAAACAGAGGCATAGAGATCAACCAACTGTCTTGAAATGATCAAGCTAGTCAGTGGAGAAGCAAAGGTTTAAACCCGGTTCTTGCCGACACCAAGGTCCACACTTTGCACATGAATGCCCGTTTACTGAGTACTTCCTGAGACCAGGGGCTGTACTAAACTCTTCACACATATGAACACATCCCACGTCCCCTGAAACCCTAGGAAGCTATTACAAGTGATGAACCTCAGGCCCAGAAAGGTTAAGTCATGTGCCCAGGAAGTGGCAGAGCTGGGGTGTAAAACCCAGCTCAAAACTGCCCAACCATGAAAAAAAAAAAAAAAAAAAAAAAAAAAAAAAAAAGAGTTAAAAATAAGGACACTTACATGGTGCCTACCATGGGCCAGCACTGTTCCAAGAATTTCGTGTATATTACCTCCTTGAACAATCACCCAAACCTAAGCAGGAGTCCTATTTTAAACCCCATTTTACAGGAGAAGAAACTAAAACACAGAGAGGCAGACAGCCCTCTACCCTGATCTCCAAATCTTGCTGGCTTTTGACAGGGAAAAAAAAAAATGATGCTGCAGGGTTGGAATGATGGGATGTAAGTAAAGGAATAACTGCCTGAGTTAGTTTCCTGTAGCTGCTATTTAAAAAAAAAAAAAAAAAAAAAAAAAAAAAAAAAAGCCGCAAACTTAGTGACTTAAAGCAGCACACATTTATTCTCTTACAGTTCTGGAATCCAAAGTCTAAAACTAAAACGGGTGGGCAGAGCTGACTCCTGGAAACTCTAGGGGAAAATCCATTTCCTTGGCTTTTCCAGCCTCTAGAGGCCACCCACGTTCCTGACCTCGTGGTCCCTTCCCCTCTTCTTCAAAGCCAGCAACACAGCATCTCCCAATATCTGTATTTCTATCTCTCTCTCTCTCCCTCCTCCCTCACTGTCCCTCTCCATCATCACATCACCTTTTCTTACTCAGACCCTTCCGCCTCCATTGTAATTACATTAGATCCACTCGGATAAGCCAGAGAATAATCTCCCCATCTCAAAATCCTTAATTTAATCACAGGTTCACAGGCTCTTAGAGATTAGGACATGGACATTTGGGGAGGGGGGGCATTATTCAGCCTACCACAGCACCCCGGCTTATACAGGCTCAGGATGGGCCAGGCCACACTTCCAACTCCTTCCACCAGCCCCATGAGGAGAAGACTGTCACCAAGCCCATTTTACAGACGAGAAAGCTGAGGTTCAGAGAAGGGAAGTCAGTTTATCCAGGTCACACAGAGATTAAGAAACCAAGGCCAAGTCCAAACTGTATCTATCTAACTCCAGACTCAGTTTTCTGGGCCGTGCTGTGTGCCATGGCCAATGGGCTATTTTCTGTGATCCCTTCAGTGGTCAGACCACTGGGTGTTAGGGGTTGTGTCGCTGTGTCACTGCTGGCTGAGGCTGTAGTGTTGTCAGGCGCTGACGTAGTATTGTGTTGTGTTGTTTATTGCGTGTGTTGTCTTGCGCGGTGCGTGCTGCGGGTCGGATGGCGAAGAGGAGCCTGTTCCGTTGCTTGGTCGTGGTGTGGATGTGCCGCGGGGCCTTGTGGGTTCCGCGTTGCCAGGTACTCTTGCGGTTGTTTAGGACGCATGCTGGGTGGCCAACGAGCACTTGTTTTGTGCTCCAAGTGACCTTGCCTCCTCGTTGTACTGCCATTCAGGAATCCGGTGTGTTGCACAATGTGCCCCTTGACTCATTCTGCCCCTGACCCTCAGGCAAGCCCTTCGACCCCACGTTCGTGCTCAGCCGCTCGGTGTCGAACATCATCTGCTCTGTGATCTTCGGCAGCCGCTTTGACTACGACGATGAACGTCTGCTCACCATTATCCGCCTCATCAATGACAACTTCCAAATCATGAGCACCCCCTGGGGAGAGGTCAGGAGGCCTAGTTGGCGGGGGTACAGGGTTGGGGTTCGTCCTGGGACATAGGGGAAACAGCGGGCGGGGAAGAGGTGCGCTTGACCCTGTCTGGCCCCGCCCTTTCCCGTCTGGCCCCACCCCGCCTAGCCTAAGGTCACTCTCTCCACCAAGTTGCCACAGAGTCCCCGCTCCACCTCGGCCTCTCCAGAACCTAACTGACCCTCAAGACTCCGCCCGCCCGCCCGTGCCTACCTGCTCCGCCCTGACCTCACCGGCCTCTGCCCCCCACACACTGCCTGATCCTCCAAACCCCTCCGACCCTCCCCC